AAAATGGAGGTCATTTTCAATATCTACAGCTCCGGAAACATAAAAATACACCCCTAACATCGAATAAATAAAAAAAACTTAAATAAATCGAAACGCAGTGGCGTAATCTTAAAATGGAGGTCATTTTCAAAATCTACGGCTCAAGAAACATAAAAGTAGACCCTTACATCGAATAAATAAAAAAAACTTAAATAAGACGAAACGCAGTGGCGTAATCTTAAAATTGAGGTCATTTTCAATATCTACAGCTCCGGAAACATAAAAATACACCCCTAACATCGAATAAATAAAAAAAACTTAAATAAATCGAAACGCAGTGGCGTAATCTTAAAATGGAGGTCATTTTCAAAATCTACGGCTCAAGAAACATAAAAGTAGACCCTTACATCGAATAAATAAAAAAAACTTAAATAAGATGAAACGCAGTGGCGTAATCTTAAAATGGAGGTCATTTTCAATATCTACAGCTCCGGAAACATAAAAATACACCCTAACATCGAATAAATAAAAAAAACTTAAATAAATCGAAACGCAGTGGCGTAATCTTAAAATGGAGGTCATTTTCAAAATCTACAGCTCCTGAAACATAAAAATACACCCTCATATGAAAAATATCCGAAAAACTCAAATAAGTCGAAACGCGGTGGCCTAATCTTAAATTGGAGGTCATTTTCAAAATCTACAGCTCCTGAAACATAAAAATACACCCTCATATGAAAAATATCCGAAAAACTCAAATAAGTCGAAACGCGGTGGCCTAATCTTAAAATGGAGGTCATTTTCAAAATCCACAGCTCCGGAAACATAAAAATACACCCTCATATGAAAAATATCCGAAAAACTCAAATAAGTCGAAACGCGGTGGCCTAGAATCTTAAAATGGATGTCGTTTTCAAAATCTACGGCTCCAGAAACATAAAAGTAGACCTTTATATTGGATAAATTCTAAAAACTTAAATAAATCAAAACACAGTGGCGTAAACATAAAATGGATGTCATTTTCAAAATTTACTGATCGGGAAACATAAAAATACACCCGTATATCGAATAATTCAAAAAAACTTAAATAATTCGAAACTCAGTCACATAATCTTAAAAAGGAGGTTATTTTCAAAAACCACTCGAACGATAACAGACCCACACATCGAAAAATTAAAGATAATTAAATAAATAAAAAAAGGTTGAATTTGAAATGGAAAAGGTTTAATTTGAAATGGAAAAGGTTGAATTTGACTTGGAAAAAGTTTAATTTGATTTGGATAAGGTTGAATTTGACTAGGAAAAGGTTGAAATTGACTTGGAAATGCTATATATTTTACAGACAGGGGAATTAATATGCTATAAATTATATTTAACAGAATATTTATTTCGAAATATTGGAAATTCATTACTTTCATCTCAACTTTTATTTTATGTTTGCAATTTTTTAATATTTTTTTTTATGTTTTTTAAACGGAGTTTTTGTTTAAAAAAAATGTTATATCCTATCCTTTATCTTCGATCCTTTTCACCAAACCTCTGCTTCCCAACTCCACTATAATGACTAATATTCTGAATTCCTGTCACATCAACGCCCAATCCCTTATTGCACACTACGATGAATTCCAGAAATATTTCCTTGACAATTTTTACCATGTAATAGCAATATCTGAAACCTGGCTAAAACCTTTTATCCCATCCTCCCAGATTTCCTTACCAGATTACTCGTTCCTACGTCACGATAGATCGCATCGCACGGGAGGTGGCGTCGGATTATATATCCATGACAGCCAATAAGGCCAAAATCCTTCTACAGTCTCCTTATCATGATTTTCCTCACATAGAATACATGTTCGTTGAAATCACCTCGCTTTCCTCTCCTCTGTTGTATGCCGTAATTTACCGCCCTCCTCGTGTTCCATTTGACAACCTCTTTGAATCTTCCCTCATTAACCTGGTCTCCAACTACACCAATATTATTATTACCGGTGATTTTAACGTGAACATACTTTCACAATCTCTCGAAAAATTTTTCCTTACCGACCTGTTGTTTTCCCTTAATCTTCATCTTGTTCCTTATTCTCCTACCCACCATACGCAATTTTCCGATACTTGGTTAGATCTTTATATCTCTGACTCCCCCATCAAAATCCTTTCTTCTTCTCAACACCCAGTTCCATTTCTTTCATCACATGACCTGATCCAAATTACATACGACCTACCCGTAAAATCCTTCACTCCCAAAATAGTTTCATACCGCAATTTAAACCTTCTTTCCTATGAATCCCTTCAACCAGACCTTAATTCTCAGCAATGGGACACCATATATTCCTACAACTCCATTGATCCTATGGTATCCACCCTGACCTCAAACCTACAATCTATATTAGAAATCCACACTCCTCTGAAAACCAAAACCTTACGCCGTCCCACTGCGCCTTGGCTGACCCGTGAGATAAAGGAAATGATGAGGGGAAGAGATGCAGCAAGGCGCAAATACCGTCGAACCCGTCTAGCTGTGGATTATGCGTCTTTCAAGGCGCTTCGCAATGGGACCCAATCTGCAGTCCGTCTTGCTAAAACCACCTACTTCCATAATGCCCTGTCCAATGCTCCCGACCCCAAATCTAAATGGAAAATACTCCGCAACATATCCCTACCAGAGTCCATTAATCGTAGTCCCTTCGATCTTTCTCCAGATGATCTCAATAACCATTTCTTATCCTTTACTCACTCTTCCTCTCATACCTTCGACATTAAACATCACAAATTCAATCCTGAAGACTTCTTTTTCTCCCACGTGTCCTATGATGAATTACTTTCCACCATCCTAAAATCCTACACCAATGATTATGGTCCCGACAATATTCCTGTAAAACTAATAAAATCCACCCTTCCTGACCTTATTCCTGTTCTTTATCATACCTACAATTTTTCACTGCAGAACTCCATATTCCCATCCTCCTGGAAAACCGCCCTAGTCCGACCTTTGAATAAAATTGCCAATCCTACCTCACTGCACGACTTCCGTCCTATTTCTCTCCTATCCAACCTCTCAAAGCCGCTAGAACGCCTTGTCCAAAATCAGCTCTCAAACTTCCTAGAGGAACGTTCCTTTATCAACCCATGCCAATCTGGCTTCCGACCCGGCTATTCAACGCAATCTGCTCTCCTTAAAATAACCCATGACCTACAAAACTCCATTGAACACCAAAACCTTACTATCCTCATCCTTCTAGATTTTTCCAAAGCGTTTGATACAGTTGACCATAACATCCTTCTTACCAAATTGCAAAACCTTCCTCTATCCAACAGTGTCCTGCATTGGTTCAAATCCTTCCTTTCCAATCGATCCCAGTATGTAGTAGTCCCTGATCAACCTCCTTCAAACACACTTCCCCTCTCCTGTGGTGTCCCTCAGGGTTCCTCTCTCTCTCCTACTCTGTTTGCTATTTACATCAATGATCTTCCCCTCCAGATCCGTCACTCCCGATACCACATCTATGCAGATGATTTCCAAATATACCTTTCCTTTCCGCCCTCCGACCTATTATCTGCCACAGAAAAACTTCAAGAAGACTTAGATGGAATTTGTGACTGGGCAAGAACAAACAAGCTGAAGTTGAATGCGGATAAGACAAAGGCAATCTTAATAGGCTCCAATCACCTCCTTAAAACTGTCCCTACTATTCCAACTCTGTTCCTACATAATAACCCCATCAAATTTCACCCCACCATAAAAAATCTTGGAATAACCATTGATCAAACGCTTTCTTGGAAAAATCATATATCCAATATTTCCCACCGTACCATTTCCATCTTAAAACGTCTTAACTACTCCCGTCACCTATTTCCTTTTGAAACCCGTAGGCTCCTAGTCACTTCCTTAATTTTTCCCCACTTTGACTATTGCTGTACGGTATATGGGGGCCTCTCTGGGGATCTCGAGGCGAAACTAAAACGTTTGATAAATTGCTTTGTACGATTCATCTTCGGGATCCCAAGGGACGCCTCTGTTTCCCATCTTTACGCGGAGTTAAATTGGCTTTATCCTTCCTACCGTCGTAAGTATTTCCTGGCATCCTTCCTCTTTCAAGTCATCCAATCCCACCGTCCCTCATACATCTCCGAGCTCCTTCAATTCAAATCCTCTGTTCGTTCCCGCAATACTCGTTCCCGATCTTCTGATTTATACATAAGGGCCCACCGAACCGCTGCTTTCGACAAATCGTTCATTATCCGATCCTCATCTCTATGGAACTCCATCCCTTCCCATATCCGTCAATCTAATACCCTTCCTACCTTTAAATCCCGCCTGTTCAATCATTTCTTATCCATCCAGTCCCCATAAAATCGTAAATAGATACTACTGAAAATATGTACATAAGTTATTAGTTAGTTCTTCATTATTTGTTCCCCAATTTTTGTTTATCTATTTTTTTTTTTCTCTTTTATTATCAACTGATCAAAATTGGAAAGCAACTTATATGTATATGTGTATATTTATATATATATATATAATTTTTTTTAACCAAGACTGTTCAATTACTCTGTATTTTTATTTATATATCTTTGAGGCTCCTTAGCCCTCATTTCTGTCTTCCTGTATTATTCTAAAGGGACTCGTCCCAGAATAAATAAAGTATTATTATTATTATTATTATTATTATTATTATATATATATATATATATATATATATATATATATATATATATATATATATATATATATATATATATATATATATATATATAAAACAGTGGTTTATAAATCATTATGCTTAATGATTATACATATATATAGAGCCTTAAAGATTTATAAACCGTTGGATGATGATATCCAGGTTTTAATGAAAAACAGAAATTGGGGTAGTAGAGCTGCTTAAAAATTCTCTTTAAGTGGTTTCAACAAATACAAACTCTTCATTAATTTAAAGTAAAAACCACAAGACCAGAAATATATTACATTAATAATGATCTAGAATTTAATGTAAACAAATATACCATAAATTCAAGCAAACCTTTGATGATAATGATGTAATGCAGGATCAATTTTTTTGAATCCATTAGAGTTTAAAGGTGTTTTTATCAAATTTATACTTTTTTCTGGGCTATTTTCAGGTAGAGACATCAATATACTGAATCTCACATTGTCAGACAGAGTTTCTACATCACCATCAACACAATCACTTTCTGCAACAGTTAAGATTATTGTCAATTTATATAATAAATAATCTTCAATAAAGTAAAACAATAGTCACCTATGTGGGAAAATAAATTTACAAAATACTGATGAGTACAACTGGGCAGTCACGAAAAGAATAAACTAATGAAATTAGTAAAACCAGTCTATAATAGATATAGACAATCTATAAAAAACAAGGGCACAATCAGAATAAAAATAGTTAAAAAGTTAAATAATAACAGAGTAACTTTTGTTGTTTACTTTAGTTGAGTAGAATAGAATAGAAAACAAACTATATTCTGGGACAAGAAGATATATTTATGAATGTTCCTAAAAAAGCCTAAAGGTTATCTGTACTGGTTCCATAGTTAAGAAAACCTTGAGCTATTTTTTAGCTTAAGGATTCCTAAACAAAAAGTATCTTAAAATAGGTATGAGTAAAGAGAACTTTTAGCTGTGAACCAATGAGATTTGCATATGGAAAAGTGAAGAATAACCTTCGAACTTCGGGTAAAGTTTAGTTTACTAAGAACTAACCCCTCTTAATTATTGCTGATTTTACCAGTTTTAGAGTAAAATGTGTGAAAAGTAAACTAAAACTGGTTAGCACCACTCTCTAATTTTTAAAGTTGCAGATAGGTTTCTATAAAAACATAAGAATAAAAGAAAATTTAATTTGGCTTCTGAATTTTGTCATGTAATCAAACTAATTAATTTACTTATTTTCATGAATCTTCCCAGAATAATTAATTGAAATTTTGTATTGCAAACTTCATTCTTTTGCTTTAAATATAATTTTTCTGTAAGAAGGGATATAAAACATAATATAAATTACAACTACAAATATTTCTCTCCAATATAAAGTACACACAAAAACGAAGATAAACTGATCAAGAACTAAAAGCATTTGTGTAAAATTACAATTTTAATAAAACTATATTTCAAGAAAATATAAGCACTGTTTTAACTCCATTTTGCTTACACTTTTTTCATTACCCTTGTTTAATTTAAATATAACGGCTAGGGCCGATAGATAGAAATAGCGACCGTCATACTTTTAACCATTATACGTTTATAACAACAAAATTTACCAGGTTATAAACGACATCCATTGTATATTAATCTCAATTCGGCTGTAAAAAATTTTCCTTAACTTCTCTACGTATTGAAAATTCCTTTTTTCACTTTTCCAGGTCGGTCACCACCCTGATCAAATCTGCATTAGAATGATCAAAAAATTACATCTTCTAATAGAACTATGATTTTAAATAAATTTTTCTTATCCAATAGTTGTCCAAATATATGGAAATCAGTGTTCACAATTCAATTTATTTACACATTACAAATTATTTTGTATCTATTATAATGTGGTTTATTGAGGCCAAAACTATTACAACAAGGGTTGGTATGTTAATAAATTTGATCTGCATATTATGAACTATTTTATCTGAAGTGTATTAGGTGGGTGGTGGCTGAAAATTAATTGCTAGGTAATTGCTGCATTCTGTTACTCCTCTTTTTCTCTTTCCCTGGTAACCAGGCCCCTAGCTAGGTCGCTAAAGCATCTGCTCCATTTTTCTTGTTATAAAGAATGAAAGAAAGTTGTCCCTATATAGATCATTTATAAGATCAAAATTAGATTATGGTTACATATATACAATTCAGCTTCAGCTAATGTTTTAAAAATGCCGGACTCCATTCAGAACACAGGTCTCAAAATAGCTACATGCACTTTCCACTCCAGCCCCTCCAATAGCTTATGTGTCGAAGCTGGAGAACCTCTGTTAGACCTAAGATAACAACTTGATCTTATCTACTCCACTAAAATCCTGTCTGCTTCCAATCATCCTTTGAATTATTTATACCCAAATAGACAGTATTCAACCCAACAACAAACTGCCTCATCAAAGAGATCATCCTTTATAGGATGCCTGTGTTTCATTATTATTACTTGACTTAAATCTTGAAATACCCACCTTTTATAAAACTGCAGTATCACCAATTGTTTTATTTCTTATGCCAATCCCTTCTATGACTGTCCGGGATATTAATCTAATAATTATGCTTTAATAGCTGGTACATATTTTATTGCTATGGACTGTAAAATTAAATGGGTTTATTTATTTATTATAATGGCGATACCGTCCTGCAAGAACCCGGGCCTCCTCTACTACAGCCAACCAATCTCCACCATCTTGGACCACTTCCCTCCATCTTCGGACGCCCAGCCGCCTCAGATCGTCCTCAACATCCTCCAGCCATCTGATACGAGGGCGCCCTTTACTTCTTTTGCCATCTGGCTTCTCATGCAGCATCTTTTTTGGCATTCTTTCCACAAGACCTAACTGTCTTATTCTGGCTCTTTTTATTAATGCTACAATATGAGGTTCACCATAGAGTTCCCGCAGCTCCTCATTCTTTCTTCTTCTCCAAATTCCATTCTCAAAGATTCTGCCCCATATTCTTCTCAATACTTTCCTTTCTCAGGAGTTGAGCGTGCGTTCTGAGTTTTTGGTTAAGGTCCAAGTCTCACATCCATACATAACCAATGGTCTTACTATGGTTTAGTATATGAGAATTTTGATTCTTTTAGAGAGTGATTTGAACTTTGAAGTCTCTTTGCAGTAAGAAATAGCATCTATTTCCTGCTGCAATCCTGGCGTTTATTTCACTCTCTACTTTATTATTGCATGTGACCAGGCTTCCAAGGTACTTGAACTGGTTAACTGACCAAAACTTGTGATCCCTTAATGCTATTTCTGTACTCATTTCCTTTTCCATTTTTGAATTTTTTCGTATACACCGTCTTATTTTCGTTAACTCTAAGGCTCAGTTTAGCTGCTCCTTTGAATTCCTAGAAAGTTCTTGACAATGCTGCTTGGGTTTTAGAGATAATGGCAACATCATCGTCATATGCCAGATGTTGAGACATACAATTGTAAATTGTTCCTCCTGGATTTGTTCGAATAGTTGGTGGAGGGAGGTGTATAATAAGCGATTGGTGGTGTCGGCATCGAACCTTTGGGTTTGCTAAGTCTTTTATTATTATATATATATATATATATATATATACACACACACACATATATGTTGTGTTCCTATTCCTAATCCGCGTTTAGTCCGAGTCCTATATATATATATATATTCTGTATATATATATATATATATATATATATATATATATATATATATATATATATATATATATATATATACATACATATATGTATATATATAATAATAATAAAAGGCTTAGCGAACCCGAAGGCTCGATGCCGACACCACCAATCGCTGATTACACACCTCCCTCCAAACCCAGTCCCTTCAGATCTGCTTTAATGCAATCTTCACACCTTCGCTTCGGTCTACACCTCGGACGCTTACCATTTGGCACAGCAAATATTAACCTTTTAGGAATTCTCTCATTACTAATCCCAACAACTTTACAAGCCCTATATTTTTCATTTATTTTCTCCTGATAAATGTAACATAAATAGTAATTTTTAATAATAATTAAAATAAAAATATTAACTTACCAATTTCAGTTTGTGGTCTAGGCTTTTTCTTTTGTTTTGGTTGGTTTTGCCGCAGAGAGTTCAACCTGGATTCAAGCTCTGACAATCTTCTTTGACTTTCTTCATATAAGATTCTATGTTTCCTTCGTACTGATTTATTTGCTGATCCATCATTTGCTAATCCTAGTGCTGCTTCAGCTATTCCAGTTTGTATTTTACACTCGAGCTCTAATGCTGCTAATGCTTCATCCTAAAAATCAAAGAATTATAATGAAGTTTTAGTTGAAAATAAATTGATATATGTATCACTGATGGTTAATATTATATTCCTTTACATCACTAAAAAATTAATATGTTAGCTTTGCTTTAGTATGTTTCTACTGAAACAATTTTAATGTGCAGGATGTGATTTATTTTCCACATGACCAATGTTGTATTGAACAAAAGATCTTTAAGGCAAACTTTTGCAAAAAAAGGTAATTCGTATAAGAGAAAAAAAGGTAACTAGTTAAGGCAAACTTGTGATGTATCTTATATGTCACAAAACTTATCTTCTACAATAGATAAAACTTTTTATTTTTATTAATTGAAAATTAATACATTCTGCCACATTGGAGGGCATTAACATTAGGGATACATTAATCATTCACACAATATGTACGTACAAATGATAACTAAAATAGAGATAATAAAGAAAAAGAAATGTAGAATATAAAATAAGAAAATTAATATACATATGTACAAAAACTGAAATAATAGATAGAAAATAAATCATATTAAAATATATAAAACACATTCGCACATATATACAATATTTAGATTCCCCCAGGGAACTACTGATCGGAAGACTTTAAACTTGAAGAATTGAATGCATTTGACGTTAGAAAGTTGTGCTGTCACCCACAGTTTTAATCCGCCGGTCCAGATAGGATTCAGGATTGTCTTGTGGATCAGTAGTTTGTTGTCAACTGAAAGTTGAGATTTTTCTATTCAATAGTCTATATAGCTGTCAGTATCGCCTGTTAAGTTGTTGTCTTTTAAGTCTGGTATGTAGGTTCCACGTTAGTCTTTTATCTAGAAGAAAGCCAAGATACCGGACTGTGTCAGAGAGGAAGTGGTATGAAGTTAAAGACTGATGGACAGGACTTGCGCCGAAGGATAAAAGTGTATGTTTGGATTTGGATTCATTTTCTTGGATGCACCACTTATTATACCAGTGTTCAATAAGAGAAAGGTGACTTAGTAGGTTTAAGGATGCTGTTTCAGGATCTGAATTGGAAGATAGGAAGGCTGTGTTATCAGCAAATGTTGCCAGGAGGGTTTCGGGATGAGTAGGAATATCAGTGGTAAACAGAATGTAGAGGACAAGACCCAAGATGCTGCATTGAGGAACTCCGCCTCGATTGAATGAGTTGGAGGATTCTGTATCACAGAAAACTTGAAAGGAGTGGTCAGATGTAGGATCTGAGTATTAGATATAAGGACTGGGGTAGATGGGTTTTAAGCTTGAATTGTAGTCCGGTGTGCTTGCATGATGTCCAGGAATGTTCCCAAGCAGTAATCTTTGCTTTCTAGAGCTGAGGATAAGTGGTCAACAACTTGGAGTCCTTGGTGAACAGTGGAATGTTGGAAACAAAATCCAAATTGATGGGTAGGAAGGTTTCGGAATTCTATTATGGGTAAGATTCTTTTCAGTAGAATTTTATCAAAAAATGTTGAAAGGATTGGGAGTAGGCTGATTGATCTATAGGATGATGTATTATTGGAAGGTTTGCCTGGTTTCAGGAAAAGGACGATGGTGGAATGTTTTCATAAGAGAGAACAATGGGTAGTTCTTAGGATGCAGTAGTATAAACATGTGAGGAACATGATAGCTTTGGGTGGTAGTTGATGAAGGATCTGTGGGATTAGAAGGTCTTATCCAGGAGATTTGTAGCAGATAGTTTCAGTAAATGATATTTGACCTCAGATGGATGAACTGATTTTGGTGGTAAAGAAAGTGGAATTGGTGAGAAGTAAATGTACAGGAGAGGTGTTTGGCGAATTCCTCAGCTTTTGTCATCATTAGACGCCGCCCCGGAACCATTACCTCGACAGAGGGGATGGGTAATGTGCGATTTTAGGATTTTTTTGGTGATATTCCAGATGGAATTGTCGTGACCGGAGAGGGAGGCAAGGTAGGAGTTAAAGGATTGTGATTTGAAGTTGGATAATTCTTGCTTAAGTTGTTTACAATAGAAATTATAGGAGAGGCGATTGGTGGGATGTCTGGTACGTTGCCATAACAATCTGGCACAGTGTTTGGTATGGATTAAGTCGAAGATGTGTTGAGGTAATTTATTTTTCTTTAGAATTCTCGGGGAACGATAAGAGCAGGAAACAGTTGAATGTCGATTGCTTGTTGAATGGTGGAGGTAAACGAATGTACGGCATTATCAAGGTCATCTGGGGTTTTCAGGGTTATTCTGAAGTCGTTTTGATGGAAGTTTCCAGTTGATTCGGCCTCTGATAAAGGATGGAGGAGAGGGTTTAGGAAAAGGAGCTAGTGATACTTGGAATATTAATGGACTGTGATTTGAGGAAAGTTCATCAAGGAGTGCAATGGAATAGTTGACAGGACCTAAAAAAATGCGGATGAAGAAATCAAGGATATCGGAATACGGTTAGGATTAGTGGGCCAGTAGATAGGTGAGTCCGGGGGAAGGAGGTTAAAACGTTGGGAATTGAGTGCAGACAGCAGTGTTCGACTACGAGAATTTGTGGTTTTTGAACCCCATTGTTGATGCTTGGCGTTTAAGTCTGCACCCAGGGTGAAATGGTGTCCTAAGGAATTGAGGTGGGAACTGAATTGGGTATTAGAGATGGATTGGTTTGGAGGGCAATATGCTGATGCAAGGGTAATAAGAAAGGAGGTTTTTGATTATGATAGCTGTGGATTGCAGGAAATCATGAGTAGGTAATGGGAGTAGATGGTGAGAAAGGGATTGGTGTACAATGACTGCAGTACCGGCATGTGCTCTACCGTCAGGATGGTCAGAACGATATGTAGAGTACTGTGGTATTTTTAAAGTTTGTTTTTTGGTCAATCGAGTTTCCATAATAAGGGCTACATCAACGTTATAGTCTAGTAATACAGCTGTCAGTTCGGCAGCGTGATTTCTAACACCTTTTGCATTCCAAAGGAGAAGGGATAAGGATTTTTTAAAGGATGGATGAGGTGAGATACTAGATTTGTAAGGAGAGATATCAGTGAGGTAACAAGGGATTTGAATTCAGTGAGGAAAGATGCTAAACTGGTAAGGTCTGTGGCTTGTGATGGAGGAGGATTATAAGGAATGTGATGATGAGGTTGTTGAACATTAGGAGAGATAGGATGTTGAAGTTGGGATTGGGGTTCCTGTTTCGGCAGGGCCTCACATTTGTCAGTCGGGGCTCTATCCCCTACTAAGTGGAAAAAGAAACTTTGAATCTACTATTTTAGCAGGTCCTCTTCTGGACTTAGAAATTTCTTCTTTGTTCCGGGATTTATGAAATTTATTTTGGATATTTTTGTAGATTTGACAGCCCTTGTAGTTTTCAGTTTATTACATTCACTAGACTTATGTGCCTCTCCGCATTTTATGCATCTTGGTATGTGGTGGCAGTATGTTTTGATGTGGCCATATACCTGACAATTATCGCACTGGATGATTTCTCTTTTAGTGGATGGTTTTTCAACCTTAACATTAGTATAATATAATCTTTTAATTTTATATATTTTATGGACTTTTGCTGAGGGTTCTAAATCTATGAAAAATATGGATAATGATATCTATCTATTTGCTTCGGATACATCTCTGTCGTCCTTCCTAACATTGGTGACCTGTCGGACTTTGAAACCTAGGACCATCAGTTCTATTACCACAATCAGGGCCATATTACTACCCTCAGGGAATGTTCTTACCTCAAGTGGTGAAAATCTGCCTTTGTGTCGGACAGATATTTAATTATTTTCTGGTATGCATCAGCTGTGCCTGGGTTAAGCACAGATTTTTAATAAGTAAGCTCAGATATTTTAATATCGTTAGTGCGGCTTAAGCAGGAGTAGCTAGCAGGAGATGTAATTTTGTTTAAATTTGTGCATAGGAGTGGGAAATTTTTTAAATATTTAACAAAAATTGTAGGAGGAGGTTGGGGGTCTCTGGGAATGGGTGCAGATTCCATCGCCTCTTTTTCATTTTGCAGTACCTCGTAAGGATTTGGGGTGAAAAAGGGAGACTCCTCAGTTGTATCCTGAGATATACCCGGCTGAGATTGAATGTCTTCTGCTATTTTAGGTGGAGTCGCAAGTGGCATCATTCTTTTCAATTGGAGACTTTTTTTTTTCAGGTGACGAACATGGTGTAGAGTGAGACCTTGTTGTTGTACCCTTAGAAGACTTGAGTTCTGACCTATTACCAGCCACAAAAAAACTTCAAGAAGACTTACATAGAATCTGTGACTCGATAGGAACTAAAAAGTTGAAGTTAAATGCAGATAAGACGAGGGCAATTTAAATAGGCTTTAATTACCTACTTAAAATTGTTTCTAATATTCCAACCCTGTTCCTACATGATAATCCCATTAAATTTTATTTGATCAAAAACCATAGAATATCCTTTGATCAAACCCTTTCCTAGAAAAACCATGTACCCAATATATCTTGCCATACTTTTTCTACCTTAAAACGTTTAAGTTACTTCTGTCATCTATTTCCATTTGAAACCTGTAGGCACCTACAGGGATCTCGTGGCAAATGTTTGATAAATTGCTTTGAATGATTTAACTTCAGAATCTGAAGGGACGTCTCCTGTTTCCAGTTTTTATGAAGAGTTTAAGTGGCTTTATCCTTCCTACTGTTGTATTTCCTTGTCATCTAATTCTGCCGTACCTCATATATCTCCGAGCTCCTTCTATTTAAATCCTCTGTTCACTCCCACAATACCTATTCCCTGACTTCGGAGTTATATACAAGGGCTCACTGAACCGCTACTTCCAACAGATCTTTCATTATTCGATCCTCATCTCTATAAAACTCGATCCCTACCTACATCCATCAGTCCAATACTATCCCCACCTTCAAATCTTGCCTGTTCAATCACTTTGTATCCATCCAGTTTCCATAAAATTGTAAATAGATGTTTCTGCAAATATGTATAAAAATTATTAGTTTGTTTTTAATTATTTATATTTCAATCTTATTCTTAATTTACAAATAGATTTGTTTGGGCTTTTCCATCTGTGATGTTATCAGTTTTCATTACACATACATATTATCAATGAACAATTTTTTAATACTCCCAAAAATATTTCAAATCAACTTTCACTAGATTGTGTCTAGATGTACCTAACTGGTAAATGATTCATGAAAGATACTAAATTTGATTTGCTTGGTTGTATTAGTTATAAATTTATTGAATTAAATTTCATTTATCACCAAAGCAATTCATTTATAGTCTGTTTGACTTAGTTGTGCTGAAAATTTAATCGAACTGAACCTGTCAAAAGACAGACACACTCAGTTAGCTTCAGTATAACAAACAGTATGATTATATGATCTTGGCCCTCATCATCCAGACATGGTACTAATACACCATTACCCCCAATAATAATGATTTTAACTACTTGATAGAGAACGAAATAGAATCTAACGTTTTATATGTCTATATAAACTATATTGGTTTACAATTTTACCTGTAATCAAAGCAATATTACCTACTAAGCTAAATGAAGTCATTGTTCAATAATCAGCTACATAACCACATAAAAGAAAGTCACTGAATATTAAATTAGTACTTTACAATACAATTCATTATCAAACATAATTTACACGACTACTGAATTAAGAATTTCACATAAATTTCATTAATAATAAAATACTTCAACAGAATTTTTATGTAAATCATAAAATGGATCAAAATATTATTTTGGTATGAAATTATATAAATACAATTACCTCCTTTGATTTTAACTTATTAATAAGATTTTCTGGATAGGTAAATGATGTTCCTACTCTTCTTCTAAATTGTGGTGGGCTTTCACCTGGTTCTAGAGGTGTTTCGGGAGGCAAAATTCCAGTAAGTTCAGCTTCTTCAATGCAGAGTTTTCTAAGTTCACTAGTCTTATCTCTTATTTTAGCTTCTAATGCTTCTTTTTTATGTTGCAAACTAGCCACCATTTTAAAAACATCAATTCATATTTTTCTCGAAACAAATACAATTTTAATGTTTTATAAACAATTAAGGAATCAAAAAGTCTACATTTTATAAGTCAAACTGTTTTTTAAACATCACTCAGCGTAAACACTCGTCCATTAATAATGATAATTTGTTTTTCTAATACAGAATATAAACGTAACAAAATAAAACCAGAGAAAAAAACAAAAAAAAAAAAACTAAACAAACAGACACAATCAACAAAACATAGTCACAAACACTTGACTGAAAGTAACTCAGTTTTGCCAATATATGAAGGTTTAAATTTTTAAACAACCCAATGTAAAATTATCATTTCCTTTAAGATAAAAACATATTTATGGATAACAAAATGCGTTTGTCAACTTTTAAATAAAATTTGATTGAATATAAAAAAAAAATATTATGTAATCAATACTTTATTACTATATATAATATTATAAAGTCGATTTCAGTATTTATAGTTAAAATATGTAAGATAACATTTTAAATTAATTAAAATATTTTTAAATGATTACAGGAGACGGGCACAAGTGGGTGGGGGGAAGGGAAGGGCGAATGATGTTTTTTTGAGGTGTGTTCATTTCAAAGTAACTTTTTTGAAATGATAACGAATATTTTACCTGTAAAGTAGGTTTATATTAGCAACCGAAAATAGTAAATTACAGAGCAGATTGAAGGTTAATCGTGTTATGAGAAAATATATGTTCTAATTAGGAGAGTAATTTTCTTCAAACATCACTACATTCACCACTTGGTCAAAACAAAATCAAATAAAAAAATACAAATTACATAGATAATCATAAGTAATTTAGGAACATAATCTTTTAGATATGAGGGAGTTATTCTTTCACGCTGAGGTCTTACATTCGAACTACTACATTCGAATTCCTAACAGATAAAGCTGAAGTTTCAATGTCCTGGATTTGAGTTTCTATACCAGATTTATCCACAACAGGTTTAGCTCCCAAGGCTCAATTTTATCTAATGCAGGTAGAAGTTCGGTAAAGTCGTAGTTACTGATTACTCTAATGTCGATGGCGCCAGGAGCTGGAGTGCCTCTTGGGGCCAATTGCCGAAGGGATAAAGTGGATTCTGATCCATCTTTTACATATTCCGGCAAAATATAGATGATATGAGCAATGGTGAATTGAACTAGGAAGGTCACTGATGTAAGAATTAAAAAGGAAAGGAGAAATACTTGAACACTGGGCTACTCCATAAGATAGAGTTAGGAAGGAAGATAAAGGTCGATTTGGAATACTGACAGCTTGAGTCCTGTCAGAAAGGAAGGATTGGAACCATAGGATAGAACTATTGGAGAAGGATAGAGATTTTAATTTAAAGAAGAGGATAGAATGGTTTAAGGAATCGAATGCTTTGGAGAAGTCCAGGAGTACTTATACAGTCAGTTTTCTCATAAAATTATTTTAATGCCCCTTTCTAATTGTATTTTATCTATTTATTCCTTTTATATCTCTTATGCCGGGATAATGCAATATTGTGATTCCGTTGCTCATCTTCTGTCATTAATATATCTTTAATCTATGTATAAATTTTGTATGTTTTAGCTGTTGATGTTTTAACATAATAAGTCAATACTTTTTATTTATTTACTTTTGATATTTTTTATTTTCTGGAGGTTTTGTTTTTTCTTTCTATACATGTAATTTTTGTTGTTGTTTTTTCCAGTACAATTATAAGTTTAGTTGAGAAGATTTTATTTATTTTTTTAGTTGTTTACGTACTACTATTTAAGTTGTTGTACATATTCTTTGAATCTTTAATAAGTTAGTTTTTAGCCAGATATGTATTTTTTTCCTTTTGTAACTGTTCATTATTATTATTCTAAGGGGACATCGTCTCAGAATAAAGTTTATTTTTATTATATTGTTAGGTGTGCAGTAAATATAAAAAATCAAAGTTTCCGCCCTTGAAAGCCTTGTGGGTTCGCTGCAGTGCGCCAAGAACCATTGAAATTTAGAACTTTCTTTGGTTTACGCTAAATATCTCTTTTTTTAGAGCAACATAGTTAAAAAATAGTTACGTTCAATATTAAACAGTTTAAAATTATCTAACATTTTTTCTAAACCCAATAAGAAGCGAACTATCAAGATTTTAAGATTTATCCATTTCGATTTCTTCACAACTTCTCTTTCAGTTTTGAACGGAAGAATACGTAACTCCGCTTTGAACTTGGTTCAGAGAATTTGCAGAGTTTCCTTGAAGATAATAAGCCATTGACTAGAACCGAAGAGGGTAGTCGGGAGGTGTTTTGAAAATTATGTTACACGGTGGATCAGACCCCCCCTTCACCATACCTGCACATCCCAATAAATTGCATATAGTTGCCAAAAAAATGGCCGCACTGTCAAACATAGGAGATTGACGGCTTTGACTTGAGTCGGTCACAATAACATTTTTTTTATATGTTACATTAGAAAATTCGCCTATGAAGATTAATTTTCCTTATATTTCTCTTTTCTTTAAATAGCTGCTTTTTGGAACTTTTTTGCCATCATCTACGGGAGAGAGAAGCCCGCCCTCCGTCTTCATCCGCTGGTGCTAGTCACGGTAATAATTTGTTTTATACCACATTAGAAAATTCATCTTAGAAGATGAATTTTCCCTATATAATTCTCTTTTTTTAAAATAGCTGTTTTTTTGAACTTTTTGTTAGGAATTATTTTTTCACTATCAAAGAAAGGGCGCGGCCCCAGGCAGAATGCGCTAGGGCTGGTCTCGATAATTTTTTTTTTACTTTCACTTACCTATATATGTAATATATAGTAAGAGAAAGTATTGTGATCGTGGAAATTTCCGAATCTGAGTTTTCAACGGAAATACACGTTTGAGGTACCCTGAGTCTGTGCATATGTTAGCAGTCTAGCTCAAAAACGAAAAGTTGTACAAAACTGATATTACATATTTAAGATATGCAAATGCCTTAGATGGGACGGCAACGTTTTCCTTAAAATCGGCTAACCAGAAGTGCCACTTTATATCAACGTTGAAAGGCATTTTCACAATTTTCTCAAAAACGGCTCCAACGATTTTGATTGAACTCGGTGTATCATTGTATAATGAAGTGGTATTTAATACCAATCAGGTCTTATCCCCATTGATGTCACTTTACAGGGTATAAATGTCCACTTTTCATATACTTCTTCCTCTAAAGTACCTTTATTATTATTATAATCACGGCGCTACAATAAGTCTTGGCGTCTTCCACCAGCTTCCTTCAGTCATCTCAATTCTGTGAGGCCATCATCCAGCCCCTGACTCCCAGGACCTACCTTGAATCTCTATCCACACCGTTTTACCATCTTAGTTTTGGTCTCCCTCTTCTTCTTGTACCGTAGAGAGGTTCTGTCAGGATCATCATAGGGATTGCTTCGTTCTCCATCCTTGCCATATGGCCAGCCCATATCAATCTTCCAATCTTCATCCTCAGAACGATATCTTGATCATTGAAAGTTGAGTAAATTTCGGCATTTGTCCGTCTTCTCCGATTTCCATCAATCTATACTCCTCCAATTATTCATCGGAGAATTTTTCTCTCAAAGGTTAGGAGGTCTTGCTTAATTCTTTTAGTTATCGTCCATGTTTCTGAAGCATAGAGCAGGTCAATATATCCCTGGGGGAAGAGGGAAAATATATTACATTTTAACTTTTCAATAACATTTTTACATTCCCCTTCAAATAATTCTTTATTTTTAATGTTTAATAATTCAACCAAGTCTACTGCTCTCAGCATATTTATCAATTATATTTTGTGTTAGTTAAGTAATTAGAGGAATGTTTTTTTTAAATTTGTAAACATACTTTTGGTAACCGGTTGTCTTACATTTGGTCTACTTTTCGGTACCAGCGAATCATTCTTTTAAGAACGCTTATTTCTAATGATTCTAGGCCCGTTTCTACACGCACATAATGATTAGAAGTATTGCGTGGCCAATGATAAATTGCTTCAAAATAACTCAAAGCAACGTGCTCTAATTTTTGACAGTATAATGGAGCCCAAAGTTCCGCTGAATATAAAAGAACGGAATTCACCATAGAATTTAATAATTTAAATTTCGTATCGAGAGAATCTGATCTTGATCTTTACAAAATTTCTCGAACTCTATATGAAGCCAACTGTGATTTTTTAACAAAAGTATCTGCTGCCCGAGAAAATAAGCCCGATGATGGAAAAAAAAAAAAAAAAAAACACTCCCAAATAATAATACTATTTAATTGTTTCAATTTTGAAATTGTTGTAGACGAGTGGTTTAACTTTATCTATATTACCACCTTTTTTAAAGATCACAAACTTTGTCTTTTCAACATTAACAATTAATGAATTTAATCGACAATATTTGTGCAGAGAAACTGATTTCTTGTTTGTTCCGACCCAACCATTATTAAGTAAAACTAAATCATCCGCGTATATTAGTCCGGATATTTCTGTTGTATAGTCAATATTTATTCCGGTACACCCATAATTTTTAAAATAATACATTATATCTAAAATAAATAATGAAAATATTAAAGGACTTAAAGAGTCTCCCTACAATACTCCTTGGCTGATTTTAATTTATTCAATGTTTAGTTCGTCCTTCAAAATTATTGTTTGTATAATTCTATTACAATATTTATTTATTTTAGAACTCAGTGCGAGATTATGAAGCTTCGGTCACAATATTGTCTAATCCAGTGAATCGAATGCCCGCTTGAAGTCAACAAATGTCGCAAAAACTTTGTTGCCTTTGTAACTCATTGAGATATTTATTACCGACTTTAATGTAAAAATACTGTCAACTGTTTTCCAAAACACTTTAACGTCTGATAATGAGTTTAAAAGGCTAATTTTTTTAGCTTATGTTACACATTGTTTATATTGTTTTTTACTATCGATAAAAACATTAATATTTTCTTGTGAATAACCTTTACTCATTAATGTTTTAAAACATTTCCTAAGATATTATTTTGCTTCGTTGCACACATTACAAAACCAGGTTTTATCAGTAAAAGTTTTAGGGGGACAAACAAAGCATTTTCGTTTTAGAAGTCCAGATTCGAGTACACAGTTAAAAAAAAAAACAGTCAACCATATTTCTATACAAAGCATTCACTGATTTAGAATAAATGTTATTTGCATTTGAAACTAATACTTGAT